AACAACAAAAACAACAACAACAACAAAAACAAAAACAACAAAAACAACAACAACAACAGAAAAGAAAAAGAAGAGCAAAGGAGAGAGAGAGAGAGACAGAACAGTCTTCCAGCTCTCTCTCAGAAATTTTATGGAGCAACAATAGCATGATGGGGAAGACACATCACTAACATACAATCATGTCTAATACTGTAATACCCCGTTTCCCCGAAAATAAGACCTAACCTGAAAATAAGCCCTAGTATGATTTTTTCAAGATGCTCGTCTTATAAGCCTTACCCTCCAAAATAAGCCCCAGTTAAGTGAAACCCTGCCCTCCACCCTTGTGCAGCAGCCAGAAGATGATGACATGACCGTATTGGTTGTACATGTACATTTTTTTCATGTATTGGTTGTATATGAAAAAAAACCCCTGAAAATAAGACCTAATGCGTCTTTTTTTGTTTTTTGGAGCAAAAATGAATATAAGACCCTGTCTTATTTTTGGGGAAACAGGGTATAAGCTAGGAAGAAAGCCCCTACATCAAAGCTCGTTAGCTGTTCTGACTTTATTGGGCTAAGGAGACATCCCTCAGACTTTGTAGTCACTGAGGAGATAAACCTGGGTCAGGGCAGACACCAGTTGAGACTGGAAATACAGGCTAAGACAGCTGCCAGGATGAAATGCCAGGCTTTTATTTTTTTTCTAGGTTCTGAGCATTTTTGCTGGTTTATTGGCGTTCAGCAATTGCAGAGAACACCAGCAACATGAAGCCGTATAGCCCGGATGATAACGTAAGCAAAGCAAATACAAAGTGTACTGTTTCTTTTTCTTTTTTTAATGGATTGTTGTACTTTACGACATTTGAATATGTTTTGTGGTCGCTTCAGCTTTTTGGCCTTGTATTTGTTGATCCTTTTGGTATGGTATACTCATTGTTACTAATCTTCAATACTCTCTTTCCATTATTGTAAATTGCCTCGGGTCCTTTTAAGGAGAAAAGTGAGTTAAAAATATTTTAAGCCACCCATAGCACTTTAAAGCTCTCTCTCTCTCTCTGGGCATTTTAGAATTTAATTCTGCAGTATACACATTGACACCTCCCTTCCCCAAGCAAGCTAGCTGCTCAATTTACTGACCCCAAAAGGATGGAAGTCAACCATGAGCCAGCTACCTGAACCTGTCCGATCAAACTCAGGCCATGAGCAGAGAGAACACTTCAGAGGTGACAAGGCGTCTTCCTTAGCTCCTAATCCATAATTATTGAATGGGCACTTGCTGAATTTGTTGGAACGACTCTGAGCTCTTGACAGCAATACAGAAGATATCACGTGCATTTTGTATATTATGAGATTCTGCAGTGGCACTGAAGACCACAAACATTTCATTCCATGTCTGCGTCAGCTGTTTGATCTTAGTTGACTTGCCAGGATCCACGCATTCTGTTATTGTAAAATAACTTTTGTATTGGGTATATTTATTACAGCCAATATCCCATGATTGTGGGAGGGCGATGGTGTAAACATGCCGGCATTGCTCCCTCCTGCATGCTTACTCTTGCAGTCATGGTGTGATCAGTTCTGCAGTAGAGTGTGTGTGCAAGAACAGGGTAACCTTAAGCGATTTCCCTTATGCTCTGAACAGGATACTAGCTTGTATGTGTAAGAGAGAAAGAGAGACAGAAACACATTGAGAATTTTCTTCAGACATCCAATCTCTATGCTTCCTTCCTTCTTAATCATATATAGTTTTTCACCCTTCATGCCTGCCTGTGTAAGTTGATTCAGAAATAAGTTTAATGAAGTTTGTTTTTCAAGGACAAACTTTGTCTGCCGGTCTGCTCCTCCCTCCACATGTAGACACAAAGCAGCCTTTTTCTGTGGATTCATTCTAATGTCTGTAGGGAACTCACCCCAGGAAGGCTCACCCTTCTTTTGGCCAAGTGAAGTTGTGACTACACAGCGAGAGACATGCACATTCACTCACTCTGAAGTTGCACTGGGGAATTTGTGTTTCCCCAGGTCTCTTTGTATTAACTGGCCACAGGAGGAAATTAACTCAACAGCCTTGTTTGCAGCTTGTTAACATAGCTTCTGTAGCCCTGCAGGAGGTGTGTTTATAGAACTACCCTGTTTTCCCAAAAATAAGACATAACCTTAAAATAAACCCTAGTATGATTTTTCAGGATGCTTGTCATATAAGCCCTAC